CGGCTCTTCTGTCCTCCGGATCTCAAATCAGCGGACTTGGTCCGCTTGGCTGCCGGCTGCGACTGCGTCGGCCGCCGATCCATCCGCTGAGACTCGGCCTCCTCCCTGGCCTGGGTCTCCAACTCGATCTCCCGCTTCCTGGCATTCGCCTGAAGCTCAGCAAAAGTCTGATATGATGAGTTCGATACGAACTCCCGGATGTCTCTCCTCAGCACTCCCAAATACCGGCTCATCCGAGCCTGCTCCGTGGACACCTGCTCGGGGCAGAACATCGCCCTCTCATGAAACTTCCGCGTGATCACTGCAACCGAATCATTACCCTGCTTGAGGGTCAAGAACTCCTGAACCAACCGTTCCCTCTCTACCGGGGGAACGTACTCGTCTCTGAACATAGTAGTAAATCTCTCCCAAGCAAGGCTGAAACCTCCGCGGGAGTGAAGTTCGCCGTCACGAACTTCCACCAATCCTTCGCTCCCAGGCGGAGCTGGTTCAGGGCGAACCGCACCCTCAGATGCTCCGGACATGAACAAGTATAGAAGCATCCCTCAATATCGGCAATCCACCTCATCGCAGCAATCGGATCCTGAGTCCCGTCAAACTCTGGTGGCTTCGTGTTGCTGAACTCCCGGAACAGCAACGAGTCACCCCCCTGTGGCCTGGCAGCAGCCACAGCTGCGGTAGCTGCAGCAGCGGCAGCCTCAGACAACGCGGCATACCGCTCATCAAACGTCTCCATCAGCGTGGTCTTGATAGACCCAAACATCTCCGGAATCTCGGCCCGGATCGCTGCGGCTACCTCCTCATGGATCATCTGACGGAGCTCCTCGTCAGTCACCCCACTCGTGCCAGGTCTGTGTCGTGGTCCCACCATGATGTCTCTGAAATACAACAAAAGAATATCAGAGACCCTATCGGGCAAAAATCGCACTCGATAACGCAGTCCTGCTCAGTTTTTGATTCTCAGGGGTTCCCACTTGGCTGCCTACTGACCCGGTGTCCTTGGCAGTACGGGCCCAATACCGCCAGTTACACCGCGTCGGTATTCACCCAAGTCATCCTCCCCATTCTCGAATCCTGAGCACACTATTCTTTTCATACTCTTGTTACTCACTCGCTCTCGAGCACCCCATAGAAGCAAGTTTTCCTAGACTAAGGCATCACAAAATCAGGCCACTCTAGCCCTAACATGTATACCTAGTCTACTAGCATGCGTATCATATCATATCATATATCGTAACACATATAATAAAAGTATTTTGGGGATTTTTACCGTTCGGGCGCTGGCTGACCGTACACACTTTTTCTTCTTTGGTCGTCTCATCTTTCAAAATTTAAATTTTATTTACTTAAATTAAATTTTTGTAAAAACAATTTTCTTCAATCCCCGGTTTGAGTCCAGTTACACCCGAAGGTGTACCCGAATCCCTCAAACCAAGGCTCTGATACCAACTTGTTACGTCATAAAATTTCCAACCAAAAATTTTCATTTTTACAACCATTAAGACATGAGTAATTAATTTAGATTTCCAAAATAACGTCGTAGTCTCCAACGATTACATAACAAAAATAAAATAGTTTTCCCCGAGTGTGTGTACGATCACGCTGGCGCCTTCCCACGGTCCTCACTCGCACCTGAAACACATAAGCAACAACTGTAAGCATAAAGCTTAGTGAGTTCCCAAAATACAACATACGCACATACGCCTTTCCAGGCCTTGACCTTCCGGTCCATGTATTTCAGGGGACTTCCATCCCGACTGGGTAAACCTTCCGGTCCTACCCACATCAATTCTTACAGTCCATATGACCACGCCTTCCGGCCCATATCAACGTATCACACATATCACATATAGCAATTAACTTAATACACATAAAGCATATATTCCATATCATATTCAACCTTCCGGTCACATAGTCAAAACCCTTCCAGGTACAGTATAGTGAGAAGACTCACCTCGTATGCCTCGCTAAGTTGCTACCCGCAAATCCTGGGATCACTCGGGCTCGAACCCTCGAGCTGAAATCCTCCTACGATATATATATATATATAATTCTATAAATATTACTTGTACCACTAAGGTGGACCATTCAACCCAAGTCAACACCGGTTGACCTGGTCAGCAGTCTTTAGTTAATTAGGACTAGACTCGGCGAGTGCACAATAGTGACTCGGCGAGTCTACGCGTTTTTTACCAACTCTCAAGAATTTTCCCTTTGACTCGTCGAGTACTCCCCTGACTCGACGAGTTCCACCTGGGCCTGAATCACCGGGTCACCGCGACTCAACTCGCCGAGTCTAAGGCCAACTCGGCGAGTCCCATCCTGACTCGGTCCACCTGTCAAAACCTTTCCAACTCTCTGCGACTCACTGAGTCACCCACAACTCGGTCCAGTCTACACACAAGATGGTTTCAAGGACAATCTTCAAGTGACTCGTCGAGTCTGTTCTTCAGACTCGGCGAGTCCATGCCATGCACCAGCTAAAACTGGCTCTTGCGGTCAGATCCGTTCCATAAATACATAGATCTGGCCTTCCCAAGCTTATTTGTCACGTAAAGTCTCAGTCTTGGTTGCAATGCAATGCATACAAGGCTTATTTTGAAGAAACAACCTTCAATATGGCAAGTATAACTTCTAACTCAAATGGATGGGCATAAAGCTTGTCATAAGGGGTCTCCTGGACCTGCTAAAGTCCAGATCTAGGTTCCATGTCTCCATGGAACCTCTCATACTTCTTATTCAAGCCAAGAAAGGCAAGAAGAAACCCTAGATTTGGCCCATCAACACAAAACACGAAGATTGGCTCAGAAAGTTACCTCAAGAAGACCCCCTTGAAGAAATGGCAACAGATCTAAGCTCCCCAACACTTCAAGCTTGCTCCTCTCCCTCCTTTCCTTGCACTAACACACAAAATGAAGAACAAGAGGCCTTCAAACACACACACAAGGGCTTACAGACGTATGGAGGCTCTTAGGGTTCAAGGTGGCCGCATATGAGGGCCATAAGGTCCTTTAAATAGAGCTTAGGGCCGGGGAATTAGGGTTTCATTAAACAGCACAGACTCGTCGAGTCCATCCCTTGGACTCGCCGAGTCCGGACGCGAACCCCCGCTAAAAACCGCGACCCGACTCGACGAGTTCAACCACCAACTCGCCGAGTCCCCTCACAGAATGCCAAAATATATAAAGAAATGAAGGTACCTGGGGATCCGGGCTGTTACAACTAATTTAATCAACACCTTGTATGGTTATTCATTACACAAGCTTATACATTAACTTACCTATTTTTATTAATCATAGGTTCATATTCACTAATACTAGGCATATAATGTTGTTTTCACACAAATCATATGAAGAAAGTAATTAAAAGGATGTTCATGCAACTTAATAGACTTGATAATTAACAGAAAAACAGTTATTGTCAACACATAAGGATTGATTACAAGCTTATCAAAATAGTTTTCACCAAATCAAATAATCCACATCATAAAATCAATCCATAGTAACAAGCTAATCTACCCTAAACAGAAGTTATGAGTTTTAGCTCATAATTACAACAAATAATGTCTCAAAAACGAAATCCATAAATAAAAACATGGTTTTGTGCAATAGATTAAGAAGAAGAGAGTATATATTGCCTTTAATCACTTTCGAATTGAACTCTAGTGTAAAATCTTCGAACTCCAGAGCTTCAATAACCCTTCAATCCTAGCTAAGTCGCCAAGGGATCTAGAAGAGGTCTTTGTTTCGGCCTATTATGTCACACACACACACACACACACACACACACACACACATATATATATATATATATATATATATATATATATATATATATATATATATTTGAAAACAGGGGCAAATTGTCGAGTCCCATAGGTTGACTCGGTGAGTCCGTCACTTAAATCCCGTGGGCGGCAAGTCTTTAAATTTTCGTGAATATTCATGTCTACTTAGCGAGTAGATGGCCAACTCGCTGAGTTCTTCATTCTTTTAGCTTCATTTTCTTCTTTCTTTGTTCCCCGAGCTTCTGTTTGTTAATCCCGCTTCCTTTTTAACTCGAGCATCTCTTTTAGGCTGCAAATACAATTTAAACATAATAAAGTACCTTTTGTTCAATAATTAGGACAAATTAGCCAAAGAGTATTAAGATTTTAAAAAATATATAACCAAATATGCACATATCAGAGCTAACATGCATCAATTGAAGAAAGGAACCAAGAAGAGTAGTTGGTCATCACTAATTGATAAGGTGAGTTATAACTATCACATACTATATCTTTATGTTGTTATATATATATATATATATATATATATATATATATATATATATATATATATATATATTTGAGTATGTGTGTATCACCAAAGTAAGTAAAGATGTATGGAGAAAGAACAAGAATACTATGAGTAATACCCTTGAAAGTAGATAAAGAAAGAATGAAATTATAGGTATTATAATCCTATGTATGAGTAGATGATGAGAAAAGGTATCTATGTATACCTAAAAGTGGAGGGAGTCCTTCCCTCTTATCTTTTTTATCTATTGCAACCCACAACACATGGAAATCCTATATTTCTCAACCCACTTGCCACATCATTATTTTTTATTTAATTAAATTACAAAATATTAAAAAAAAAGAACATAACTTTTTTTTTTCTAAAATAGTATTAAAATAAAGGGTTAATACCTTAAAAAAACATTATTTATACATATCTGTTTTGATTTAACCCCAATATTTTTATTTGTTACTTATTTGCCACCGTTAATGAGATGACGTTCCATATATTAGACCTTACCCGGTTAACAACCGGTAATCAAGTTCTTGCCGGTTGCATCTTTTCATTCGATTACTAATTCTTGGGAACGTGCATAGTAGCCACCACCTTTTCCCTCATCTGACTAACAAAGGGGTATCCCTTATCAGATACCATCATCATCATAAGAGGGTTTTGCAAGAGGGTTTTGAAAGAGGGTTTCTGAAGGTTTTCAAGGGTTCGATGGCAGAATCTTCACGGAGAATGAAAAGTAAATCAAAGGCGACAAAGAAGAAAAAGTTGAGATACGTACGTGATGAAGAAGAGTCTGATTATGATCGTCTTGACTTAGGATTGTTGGATGTTGAACCAGATAACCTGAATCCTATATCTAACTTGTGTGACAACCCTTTTCTTAACATTTTATGTGATGATAAAATGTTAAAGAATAATCAGTTTGAAGGGGGCGATGAAGCTGAGGTTGAAGACATTCACCAGGAAGAGCTTGAGCATGAACACCTTGAAGATGAAAATGGCTTGGAAGTGTGTGTCGAGTTCAAGGTGCACGATCCTACCATCAAGTGGAACCAAATGAAGCCTACAGTTGGTGAGTTATATGAGTCTCCTGCTCAGTTAAGGTTTGCACTCACTAACTATGCTGTAGCTAATGGATACCAACTTTGGTTCATGAAAAGTGATAAAAGCAGGGTAATTGTTAGGTGTAGGAAAAAAAATGCAAAAAAAACCATGTCCCTTTGGGATCCATGCTTCGTGGAAGTATAATGAATGTACTTTTCAGATAAAATCTATGGTTGAAACACATCTTTGTGCAAGGAATTATAATTTTGGACATTTGGTTAGTTGTAATTGGTTAGGAAAACACTACATTAAGGACATAATTAGGAAGCCCAAAATGACACTGCCTGAGATGATGGAGGATGTCCTTACAAAATATTCACTGAAAGTGTCAAAGGGGCAATGTCATAGAGCAAGGGAGATGATAGAAGGTAAACTGGAGGAACACTATGCTAAGGTATGGGATTATGCCAACGAAATCCTTAGATCTAACCCTGGAAGTACATGCAAAGTAGGAGTGTCGGTAAATCCAGACGGGGTGAATTATTTTCAATGTTTTTATGTATGTTTTAAGGCATTGAAAGATGGATGGAATACAGGGTGCAGACGTGTGATCGGCTTAGATGGATGTTTCCTAAAGGGACAAATCAAAGGGGAGATTTTGACTGCTATTGGAAGAGATGCTAACAACCATGTGTATCCAATTGCATGGGCCGTAGTAAATGTAAAGAACAAAGAAAATTGGACTTGGTTTTTACAACTGTTGGTTGATGACTTGGGTGTTGAGGATGGAAGGGGTCTAGTTGTTATTTCAGATCAACACAAGGTAAACATAAATACTACAAAAAAATTTATGTATTCATTTATATTGTCTAACCCATATTAATGTTGAATTTACTTATTTAAGGGGATTCTAGAATCTGTGAAAGCTATCCTTCCACATGTGGAACATAGGCAGTGTGCACGACACATTTATGCCAACTTCAGGAAGAGGCATACAGGTTTAGAGTTGAAGAACTTGTTCTGGGCTGCTGCAACTAGTTCACATGAAGGGGATTTTGTGTCTAACATGGAAAAAATTAAGAAAATCACTTCAAATGGATATGATTGGTTGATGTCTAACAATCCACAATCATGGTGTAGGGCATTTTTTGGACAAGGGTATGCATGTGAGGCAGTGGAAAATGGCGTTTCTGAGTCCTTCAACTCCATGATCATAAATATTAGGAAAAAACCACTTCTCACAATGTTATAGGAAATCAGAATCTATGTCATGGCTAGGTTTTATTATTTGGCTGATAAAGCTTCTACTTGGAGAACTAAATCGTGTCCAGCTATCATAGAGAAAATGAAGGAGTTTGGAAAAGAGATGAGGTAAATTCTTACATAAACTTGTTACTACTTACCATTAAATTGTGTTGTATACTTAACATGAAATTGTTATTTTTAATTTGCATTTATAGGAACTGGAAAGTGATAGCAACTGGGGGGGTCTGTATTTGAGACAAGGTATGGGTATACAGCTTACAAAGTGGATTTAGAACAACACTATTGCACTTGTAGACTATGGGAGATATATGGAATACCATGTGTGCATGGTCAAGCAGCAATAAACTACACTCACATGAATCCAACTGATTTTCTAAGCATTTGGTTCCAAAAAGAGAAATTTGTGGCTGCATATGTGACAACCCAAGTTGTTCCGTTACATTTCCCGTCACCATAAACGGAATATTCCAATGTATAAACGTTCCATTAATTAGAAGTCATCAATTTAATATACATCCCATATGTTTACATTTAAAATGCCATTAAGTCGTGATAAAAGGAAATAAAACACGTAACACATATTTCCATTTAATTGGAAATGTTAAGTGTTATTATTACGACCACTAAATCGGGTGCGACCAAAAGCCCCGTTTAACGGCAGTATCGGGTAGAATTCCACTAAGCCCCGACTCAAAACCCTATGTAAGGGTGAGTGGAGTCCATTGGAGACTTTTTACACACTCTCTCTCTAGACCCGTTTTCGCCCTGAAACCGCAACCAAACGCTTCCAAATTGTAAGTCCGCTTACCCTAGTTTGTTCTAAACATTAATAGATGTAATTATAGCCCAAAAACCATCCAAGAAGGCATGGAATAAGGAGTTTACGGCCCAGGAACACTCTAGGGCCGTAAACCCCTAAAATGGTGCCAAACATGCCTTTAAACTTGCCCTTAAGCTTGGAAACTAATTAGGGATCTAGCCTAGGAGTGTTTAAACATCAAAACTCAATGAATTGGGGCATAAAAGTGAGTTTACGGCCCAAGCACATGCTTAGGCCATAAACCCCTCAAAACCTTGCCTAAATGCTTCCAAAACACTCCCAAACCACACTAGGGCTTAACACATAAATTAAGGGCTTATTCCTTTAGGTTTAGATCACTTAAACACATCAAAATGAAGGATAAAAATGAGTTTACGGCCCAACTCTATACCAAGGCCGTAAACTCCCCAAACCAAGCCAAAATGTTGGTTTTTGTCCCCCAAATGACCTTAGACTATTTCTATAAAATGCTAGGAAGGATTTAAGGGCTTAAACACAAGGAATAGAGGGACTAAAAGGAGTTTACGGCCCAAGCAAGTATCTAGGCCGTAAACTCCCCAGAACACATCCAAATGATAGTTTTAACACTCCAAAATAGCATCACACTTCATTAGAAATCACTAGAAAGGCATTAGGGGCTTTAAACTTCACAAAACTCTAAGGATGAGAGTTTACGGCCGTAAACTCCCTTAGGAGTGGTTCCTTGGCCGTAAACTCATAGAAAATGCCCTTAGAAGCCTCAAACGCACTCATGCCTTTTATGAAAAGTCCTTAGAAAAATCCCATGAACAAGCTAGAAGCATAAAACACCCAAGAATATACCCTTAGGAGTTTACGGCCGTAAACTCCCTTGAGTTGGGCCGTAAACTCCAAATTGGTCCATGTTAATGCTTTAAACCCATTCCCACACTTGATATTTGAGTTTAGAAAATTTCCACAACTGATAGGAGACCCTTAGCACCCTTAAACACTACCCGGGACACCCAAACACGTAGCCAAAGTGTTTTCCGCTCCTGTGAGCGCGTATATTTGTTTAATTAGTATTAAATGTGCTAATTTCATGTAAACATATGTTACCATATGTTAAAATAGGTCATTGTGTGTGTTCAAGTCCTTGCGTGACACCGAATGCCCAAACGGCACCTTCGTCGGACCTACTTACACCAGGTGAGTTCAAACCCCTGAATGAACCTTTTAATGTTTTTAAATGTTTTATAGGGGGGAATACAAGTTAAACATGCTAGTTATCATGTCAATCACATGTGATTAATAACCCGCATGCACAAGATTTTACCACTTTACACTGTTTTACCGAGAGGGACACTATAATGACTTTTACTTATTTCATAACTTTTACTTATACTGATTTATCCAAATTCATTCTAAATTGGTTTATGATAAATCCTCTAAGGTTTTTAAACATATTTTACAAAAGAATACAATTCGGGATTTTCTCTGTACATAAAGGCTTTTCATTAAGGATTTCCTTTTAGACGTATACTTTTACTTGTTAAATACTGCTGCTTCGCTTATACTTATTTTATACTGCTACTCGGTAACGCTTTCACTTATATTTGTAGTCATGTATACCTGATGACGCTTATACTTATTCACGCTCTTACTTAGTGATACGATTCTTCTTCACTTATACTTGATAACGACTCTACTTCACTTATACTTGACACGTTTTTGCTTCACTTATTGTCGCCTCTACTTTGTGATACGCTTATACTTGTTCGAAACTTCTACTTCACTTGCGACTGTTTCTACTTCACTAGTTAGACACTTCTACTTCACAAGGATCACTTCTACTTGATGCACACTCAGTCGTAGTTAGATGTATGTCCATGATTATATAAGTACATATAAGTAATGATTTAAAAGACTTAGGAAGACTCGTCTGCCCTATTTCCTTTTCTTCGTTGAGATGTGGTCTGGTGGGATCGGATGGCCGTCCGAAGGTCGTTTGACTCATTAGTTATATATTATGTATATGAGAATGGACATATAGGAAATTCTCTAGTTAGTTCAGTTAAGAGTCTCTACTTCTAGTCTACACTTACATTAGAAACCCACTATTGGGAAGTCTCCACCTCTAGTTCAACACTTACACACTACCCACTATTTGGAAGTCTCTACCCACTATTTGGGATGCATCTTCAGGATATGGTCTTCTCCGTCGTCTAGTTGGTAACCAGAGTCTCCTGTAGGGAGAGCGGACATTGTGTGTATAGATCTATACGAGATTAACACCCCCGCACCCTGACTGCTAGCTACAGTCCACAGCACACCAAGCCAAGGGGTGACAAATGTCACATTCTCAAGACGCTCGTAGGGCGTCTGGTTCTCTAGTGTTGGTTAGTATGGTTACGAGTATCCCGGGTTACTTTATAATTCTTTGGCCTTAAGGTAACGGTATTTCACCGACAATCTACACTGTATGCTGGTAATTCATTTTCAGAGTCACACTGTTTTGACCTTACATGACGTATCCTTCATTTTACACTGTCTGGGGTCTGTTATCTCTGTTTTGACCTTACAAGACGTATCTTTCATTTGATACTGTCTGGGGTCTGTTATCTCTGTTTTGACCTTACAAGACGTATCTTTCATTTGATGCTATCTGGGGTCTGTATCCACTGTATTAACAGAATCCACTGTATTCACGGTATTCACTGTGTTCACCGTTCTAGACCTTGCTAGACATATCTTTCATTTGATATTGTCTGCGGTCTGTATTCACTGTTTAGACCCTACTAGTTGTACCCTTCATCTGGTACCTTCTGGGGTCTGTGTCTCCACTTGTTAGACTGAACCAGGCGTGTCGTTTGTTTCATACTTTCCTGGAATCTACGGTTCTTTGCCTTAGTCAGCAGTCCTCACTGCTGAGTCATATGATATTCCCTCATATCGTTGCTTCCTCAATAACCAAATTCAGTATTTTGATAATGATAGCAATTTAGGGAAGACTACTTTTTACCCCACATCACCGACCAGTCTTGGTAGAAGGCTACTTTTATTAAAGAAAATATAGGATTTTCTGGAAAGGACTCTAATACACTGAAATCTCTTAAACTATTACTTTATTAAGTTATTTGAATGAAATGTCACTAAATGCTTATGAACTCACCAACATTTGTAAAAATGCTGATACTCGCTTTTCAAATAACTTGTATTCTCAGGTTAGCATTAGACAGGTACATCCCCGGAGCTGTTGATAAAGATAGCTTAGTACCACGCTGTATTTATTCTATTACTTGTATTACTTTAAATTGTTGTAATGAAACCTTGTAAAACTATTACTATTAATGAAATGTTTTGTTGTACTTTGATTACTATAATGCATGTGTTGTGATACTTGACATGACGTCATCCACCCCAGAACGTTTCCGCCGTTCCGGTTTTGGGGTGTGACAGCATATACCACACATATATCACCAGTGAATGGAAGCAACATGTGGGCACCCACTGACTATATAAAGCCATTACCTCCATTGACAAGGAGAATGCCTGGTAGGACAAAAACCAAGAGAAGAAGGCATGCGTCTGAGGTCAATGATTCCAAGTTCCCAACTGTTAGAGCTAGAGTTTGTACGACTGTTAGGTGTAGCAAATGTTTACAATTCGGACATAACTTGAAATCCTATAAGAATGAGCGAGTGATGAAGGAGTATGTGCCACCTAGAAAACCAAGAAGGCCAAGGAGGGGTGGAAATGGTATAACAAACAAGGATGGAGAGGGAACTTCAAAACAAAAGGCAGTTAAGCTTACATTGAAAAGAAAGAAGAAGACAAAGAAGGCTGGAGAAGGATCCTCAAACCAGGAATGCCAAGGAGGGGTTGAAACTGCAAATGATGCAACTATGCAAGAAGAAAATGAAACTGTACATGAAAGTGCACCTAAGATTGTGAATGATGCAGATGCTATTTCTGATGAAATTGATATATTGTTGCAAAATGTGGTTATGAACCTCATGAGATTGAATAGGCTATGGAAAGGGTAGATGCTAATGAGATTGAAGATCACTTGCTTGAAGATAATTGGCTTGAAGATAACTTGGAAATGGTATGACAACCTTTACTTTAAATTTCTTATAATTAATATGTGATTTACATAAGGTAATTAACTAGATCATGTCTTACAGGGTGTAGATGCTAATGAGATTGAAGATCACTTGGAAGCAGACTTAGAAGAGGATGTTAATGAGATTGAAGATAACTTGCTTGAAGAAAACTTGGAAATGGTATGCCAATCTTTACTTTAAATTTCTTAAAATTAATATGTGATTAACATATGGTATTTAACTAGATCATGTCTTACAGGGTGTAGATGCTAATGAGATTGTGCCACCAGTGCAAGGGGAAGTTGCTATACAAGGTTTAGATGCTAATGCTTGGGTTGGTTGTGACAACCCGATATTTCAACTCTTTGTAATGGCCTAATAGGTCAAGTATTGTAACCATTTTTGAGTTAATCAAAATAAACGTTGATAATAAAATGTCCAAAAAGTTTCTATTTAACTACTTAATATGTTCTACATCATTAAACCGGGATCGTACGTAAAAAGAATGCCCAAACCCGGCTTCGTATACTGAAGTTAAGATTTTTCCAAATTCGGCTTAGGAACAGTCAACTGAAAACTCAAATCAGAGATCGAGCAACTTTTGTCCGGAATAACCGAAACGAGAATCGAAGGTCTCGACAATGGTTGTTCAGCGGTAAAAAGTCTGGCAAAAACCGACGTCAGATAAAGAAGTTATGAATTTTTAAAGAAATTCCTTAATCACGTCATTTTAATAAATAAATAATAAAAATAATTTCGGAATTTACCGACGGAATCTAAACGAAAGTTGTAGATCGTAGTCTCACCTTCGCGGGGATATAAAGAACATCGAAAACGGAGTTCGTATGAAGGAGATATGAATTTTTGAAGTTTGATAAATAATTTATATATAATTTTTATTAAAAACTTCGGTATTATCCGAAGTCTGAGTCACGCACGTACGCCCCGCGTACACGAGTACGCCCAGCGTACTCGAGGCCACGGCCTCGGATCGTCCACGTCGCCCTTATGCGAGCCTACCCCTGTCCCATCCGAAGTGCGAGGCAGTCGAGGACTCGGTCATGCGTGACGTACACGTACTCCCCGCGTACGAGCGTACGCCCCGCGTACGGAGGCGGTTCCAGCCTCCTATAAATAGGATGCGAGGGTTCCCGAAAATTTTTCTCATTCTCTCTCACTTTTCTTGTGTTTTACCTCGTTTTCCGTGCTCGCACTACCCCGAAGCCCTGGTCATTTTGTGCAAGTCCCGAAGGTCGATTTTACTCCCGAGATTCTCGAGAATCTCGAGGAAAATCCGTTTCCCGAGACGAAACTCTGCCCGGTTGTCCATCTCGCTATCTTCAAACTTTCAAGTGAGTTCATACCCCTTAATTAACCCTTTTAATATTCTAAACGCTTTTATATGCTTTCTAGAGGGGGAAAATACAAGTAAAACACACGACTAATATCGGGTGTTATATATAAAGATTATTATACACTTTTATTAAGTGGAATCATGTGTGATTTACAAACTTTATAGGGAACTCCCGTATACAAAATATATTACAGTAGATGCTATCTTTAGAAACTATAAATGGATGTAATGCATGTATAAACTAAACATATTCTTAGATTTAAAGTATGTTGTGTCTATCTTAGACGCTACAAAAATCTATGTTTTCATAACAAATGATTCTTTTCTAGATATTCTAAAAACAAACGAGGCACACTTTTAGAAAACTATAATAGGTATAGTTTTATGAGGACATTGCTAACTTTTACATACTAGAAACACGATTTTTGAGAAATCACTTTCATGTACGATAACAAACGAACATTTCAATATGTAAATCTGTTTTTATACTACGGTTCTGTGAGACATTTACTTCACGTACGTTCGAACTACACATTTCAAGTCTTGTATTATATACCAGAATCCCTTGGAGGGGGGAGCATGGTGTTTGTGTATAGATCTATACGGGCTTGACAACCCGTGCCCTGACTGTTAGCTACAGTCCAACGTTTGGGGTGACAAATGTCAAAACATTCCAACGCCTGAAGAACGTTGTGTATAGGCAATCCGAGTCAATAGTATGGTTATAAAGCTCAAAGGAGGTATTAAAAATACATTGATTTACGAGGTTTTCAAACATATTGGTTACTTTTACACTTACAAACATTTTGGAAACAAACTTTGGTCTGGAAGGAAGACTACTTTTATACTAGTAGAAAATACAGGATTTTCTAAACACAAACAAACAAGGACAAGATATTTCGTTTCATACAAACATTGTCATTAAATAATTATGAAACTTACCAGCTTAAATGCTGATCTACTCTTTCAAAATTACTTGTATGTCCCAGGGATTCAGTAACTACAGGTATCATTATGCTTTTGATGAAGAGATGCTGCGACGCCAGTTTAAATCTCATATTTTGACATCATATTTGTAATTGATTTTGAACATGTAAACTTTTGACAAATGTAAACTTTCAATTATATATATATATATATATATATATATATATATATATATATATATATATATATATGTTGGTTGTATTGCTTTCTTTACTATGTATTCACTTTTTACGCTACCACATGAAGTCATCCGCTCCCAAACGTTTCCGCCGTTCAGGTTTAGGGGTGTGACATTTGTGAAGATGATGGGAATATTGACTTCATTGAAGATACACAAGTTGTTGGGAGGCCTACGAAAAGGAAGATTTCTGAGAGAATTGTGAAGATCAAGCTGAAGAAAGTAGTTTATGATAAGGATGGAAGGGGTTCTAGTATTAAGAAACCAGTTAAATTGGAATAGGATTATTTAGGAGGGGGTATCATGGGCACTATGTATTTTTCTTGCCCTTTTTGTTAACATTTCATCAGCTTTTGGTAACAACCATCCAATTGTATATCAGCATCTAGTAGTATTCAATTAGGCCTTTTTGAACATTGGTAGTTAATGGCCATTAAAAGATTGTTGGGCAATTGGTTGTTTGGTTCTGATTGTAATACCCCCTTTTATGTTATTATGAATGCAAGTATTTGAAGTTAATGTAATTTCACTTTGCTTTTCATTTCACTTGCTTACAATCAATTGTTAATTGTCATTCCAGTTAATGTCCTTTACTTCCTTACATAAGTTTTAGTACATTCAGTTATTACCAAGTGTTACCAAGATCTACTACATTTCACTTGCTTACACAAGATTTAGTACATTACCATAACTACATTGTAATCAATCACTATAATGCAATTACCAATTCACAGGGACATAAATAACATTGGATTACCATCAATACACTTCTCCATCAAACATTACCATAGCTACATTGATCACCTGCCCTAACCAAAATAACAAACCTAGAACAACCTTAACCCTACCAAATACAAAAAAATTACAACTGCCTTAACCAACTGGTTCTTAAAATACAATGCCAATTAACAGAATTACTCCACTAACCACCAACATCACCGACACAAACTTCAGCAACTTGATCACCTGTAGAACACCACTGGCAAGAATTTTGTTATAGGGCTCCCTTTCATTAGCATAAAACTCCAGCTCATCCGTGTCAAGCCATTTGAAATATTTACACCCTTTTTTGGTACCCTGCCAACAAAAGCTTTATTTACTAACTTTTGAAAGATAACAAAATGGGAAAGCAAAATCCCTTAATTTTACCTTATAGTTAGGGCGTGCCTTGAACTTTCTTCCTGGGTTTTTATCAGTTCTTGAAACTGAGTATTGGAGTTGATCACCACAATCACACTTGGTGCGATAAATCGGTTTGCTGATAGAAGATGTTGAAGACGAAGCCATGGAAAAGAAGAAGACGTGATGTGTGAGGAAGAACGCCTTTCGCAAGAGTGAAGGAGAGGTTTTGGTGCAAATAACGATTTAGGGTATGTAAAAGGTTAGGGTTACCTGTTAAACCAACGACACCGGCTACCATTGATTTTTCAAAACCAGTCAACACAATTAATGGCAAATAAGTAACAAATATAAATATTGGAGTTAAATCAAAACGGATATGTATAAATAATGGTTTTTAAGGTATTAACCCTAAAATAAATAGTTAATTAAACAACTATTATTTAATAAATTATAAAACAAATATAAATTATCCAAAAATATTTGAAGTTTATACTATTTTAAAAACATTTATAATATTTGTTTTATCATATATCTTATACCATATAATTTAAAATAAAAGAAGCATAATTTATTAAAAAAATAAGATAGAAAAAACAAATAATTATGTTTTAATCAAATCTATAAACTATATCGGCTAAAATGTAACTTTTTACATTAACTACTTTTGTACCTAAAGCCGACTCCATCTTCTTCCATTAGAATTTGGATCTCCACCCATCAAGACTCTTTTTTTCACATACTCTAGCCTCGCAGGAAATTTGCTCTCCTCCTCGTCAAAAAGCAAGAATTTGGTAAATAATAGAAGAAGAATAAGAGAGAGAGAGAGAGAGAGAAAGAGAGAGAGAGAGGAGGGGTGAAAGAGAGAGAGAGAGAGAGGAGGGGTGAAAGAGAGATAGAGAGAGAGAGAGAGAGAGAGGATGTGACTTCACTCACGGGATCACCAACCAGCTCAGACAACAATTACACTGTAACACCTATAATAATCAAGCAAATTTAAAACCTTTTTTAAGTCATTCAAAAACCAATAATTATTACAAATATGTTTTCAAAATTGTTTAATGTCAGTGTATCCCAGAATTAAATCATAAAATATAAGGAGCTGCACGATCACGCCATCACCTTCCCGCGATCATCAGAAGTACCTGAAACAAAATAAACAACTGTAAGCCCAAAGCTTAGTGAGTCCCCCCAAAATACCAACGCCATACAAACCATTACTGTATCACATAAACAAACAAGATGCATAATGAGCCATCAGCTTGACTGGACTGCCTCACAGGGCTATCAGTCTATCTACACCGCTCTCCAAGCCATCGACACGTCTGGACCACCTCTTAGAGAATTCAGCCTATCTGGACCGCTCGCTGGGCCTTCGGCTTGACTAGTATGCCCTATTCAAGTCTACAATCTATCCGGTCCGCCCTAGGTATGTTGGCCTTCAGCACAAAGCAGGTCTGCCTCAACCCAACCCCCAATCAAACAATCATGTGCACATAAATATCATACGCTAACATATATAACAGTCAAACCGATCTAACAGATCACTAATCATAGCAACATCCTATAACCAAGATACCGACCTAATTGGTCACTAAATTAGCATCCTATATACCAGGATACCAACCTACCAGGTCACTAAGCATATCATCATCCTAACTACCAGGATGCAAATCAATAAGCATATCATGCAATAAACCCGGATACAAATCCAAAAAGGGTCGGCATTGGTGCCTTCGAC